GGGGGGGGGGGGGGGGTTGATTACTTCTCTTGTTTGCCTCCATGTTTTCCATTGGAAGCGTGAAATTCCAAAGCTGTGTAAACACTCGTGTGCACTAACAGACAGCCCCTTGTGACTGTCTCTGTAATCCGCCTCAACACCCGGCCGAAGCGCCGAACTGAGAAACTCGACAGAAAGGAAACCCGATAAAAGTCACTGTGTAGCGCGCAGCCATCATAACCGGTCTGGCTTCATTGTTTAAGACCTCGCTGCCTCAAGGTCATTCAACCTTTTGCAGTGGGCTGTTCCAGGCGCGCTGACCTGAAGTCGCACACCTGCGTCCGCGCAGTCGCACCGTCCCCCTGCAACCTAAGCCACTGGGACACCACCCCTCCGCAAATGCAACACACACTGACTGGCCACCACTTGAGCTGGGCCCACGAGCCTACAAAAGCGGCTGCCACCACTGTCCCTCAGGCCTGACGGGACGCAGTCAACACCAGCCCTGGCTTCGCCAATGGCCACTGCCGCCTGAGAGGACAACTCCGGTTTCTGTGCACAACAAACCCCTCATTCTCGTGCCGTCTGTCTTCTCCCTACAACTTGGGATCAGACCTGGTGACGGTAGCACACAGACCACCCACTCATTGCCGCTACAACTTTAACGACACAACATTCGCACGCGGACTGCCTGACGACTTGGAGCCAAGGATCTGACCAATGAAATAACGGGGGTGGCTAGTGAGAGAAAGTTAGGGCAAGTAAGTATTTGGGACGGGGAGGTCGGCTGGATTGCTGAAGGGGGGAGGTCACCTGAACGGATTCAACTGCTGAAGAGTGGTCGGGGTGCCAATGCGTAAGAAGCACTGCCGCGATAGGAGGCTGGGATTTGGAGGAGAGGTTGCGGCGTAACTCAGCCTCCAGAAGGTTAAGGTAGATGGGCAGGCGCGGGCCCGCAGAGGTGGTGTCAATCAGAATACGCGGATACCCTGGAAAACCAATCAAGTAGGAGTTGGTGCCCTTAATGGAAGGAAAAAAGGCGTAGCAAGAAGTTGGTGCGCAGTAAGTCAAAAAAATAGAATTGGAGGACAGTTTTGGATAGGTGACGTACCTGGAGAGTTGAGAGGCCAGCATTCTGCCCGAGAATTCGGGTAACCAGAGGGTTCAGCTGAGCTACGTTGGGCAGCTTTGGCAACATCATGTAATCAATAAAACTGCGCCACAACTGCGTAGCCCAGCGCATGGAGGGCTGCAAATGGAGAGAGAGAGAAAAAGCATGGTGAATAAGTGCCGATACCACCAAAAGGGCCAGTTGCAAAAGGCAGATGAGAAGGAGACGTGGTCGTTGGGGTCGGAATTTTATTTGTCCAAAATCTGGATTCACGGCGGCTAGTAAACCAGAAATGACCATTCTAGTCTCAGCCAGTCATGCCCAACCCCGAGTGTGGATCACTTGAGATTCGAACTCGGGTATGACTGGCTGATGACGGCTAATAAGCCAGAAATGGCCATTCCGGTCTCCCTTGTCTTTGTCGGCTCCATCTCATCTATGTCTACTACTAGTCGCTGTGCGACTGCCTGCGAAGGTTCTAGTATGAGACCCAAAGGCACAACGGAAGGAGCATGTCCCGTAACCTGATCGGTGAGCGCCCACCCGGTGAGTAGAGGCGTTGACTTCTAAACCAACAGGTCGCGAGTTCGAGGCTCGGGTGTTCCACACTTCGGGTTTGGTTATGGCCGGCTGACGACGGCTAATAAGCCAGAAATGGCCATTCCAGTCTCCCTTGTCTTTATATATGTCTTTACATATGAATACGGGCCAAAATTCTGACCCCAGGTGTCAAGATGGAAGAGCAAGATGAGGCGATCCCAAGTGGGTATGGACACACTGGACATCAATTTGCATGGGAGAACACGCGCATTGTTGGCACCCGCCCAATAAGGAGAGGTCGTGAATTTCTGGAGGCAATGCACTCATATGAGGCATGCATCAATCGGCACATTGATCTAGATGCCAGGTACACATTTCTCAAGGACAAATGGAGGCGAGCGCAGCCAATGCCGAGGAGATTACGAAATATCACTGACGCGCGGTGGCGCAGACTTCGGCCAACCACGGAATTACTTGTTCGGTGCGGTCTAAATAGCTAACTGTTTTAGTACATAACCGAGTAGTCTGAAGACGAGCTGGGGAACCAGTTTCGAAAATTTACTAATAAAGTTCTTGTCCCAAAGAACCTGTCATTTTCAGAATATATATATACACGTATAATGGTGTAGGGGCGCTCACCGATCGTTCTTCCGGAACTCACTCGTCCCGTTGTGCCTCAGGGCTCTCTCTCTCGAGCTCAACCAGCAGCCGAAGAGCGGCGCATGATATAGGCAGAATGGTACTGCCGACAAAGACAAGGGGGGCTGGAATGGTCATTTCTGGCCTATTAGCCGTGACCAGCCAGTCATACCCAACCCCAAGCATATATATATATATTGAACAGCTAAGGTAGTGTGCATTCCGAGATGATATGATGAAGAAGGAAGGCTCGTCAGAAAAAAAACGAATTATACTCGCGAACTTTCGGGCTGGTGATAAAACCCGTCGTCAGGCGAAATAAACAGAGGAGAAAGTTACATGGTCACACTAAACTGGTTGACGCGACAGGCAGCCACTAACAGACAAGCAACTAATGTGAGTGGTCGACACATAGTTACGCTAGGGCTTGGGACTGGCAAACTCCTCCGACTCCCTGGGTATGGGGGGTAATGGGGATGGCGATTCAATGGCACTGCCAATGTTCGTTCTGTCTGTGTGGGGGGGGGGTGGCGAAATAGTGAGATTCAGTATGGATTATCGGCTGCTGTTAGGTCTTGGGCGCAGGATGATGCGCGGTACGCCGGGGTCGCCATAGATCCGAAGTTCAGAGCGGAGCGTCGTTAGGCGAAACGGCCAG